AAGACAAGGACAAGACAAATTGAGTCAGTAAAAGATACAAAGTATAGCCCTACAGTTTTGCTCAGTGGTTAGAGCATCAGCCTGTGGTCCAGAGAGACCCAGGTTCGGTTCCCGCTAAGGGCATGTACCTCAGTTGCAGTTTGTCCCCGGCCCTGGTTGGTTGTGTGGGTGGCAGCCACTCAATGTGTCTCTTTCGCATCGATGTTTCTCTCTCTCTCTCTGTCTTCCTCTCTCTCCCTCCCACTCTATCTGAAGATAAATGCAAAAATATCCTCAGGTGAGGATAAAAAAAAAAAAAAAAGATACAAAGTATAGAATAAATATAATTGCCAGTGAATTTTATGGCGTAGCGTTTCAGGACAGTGTGAAGTCACTCCAGGTGGAGATTGTTTTGCGATGGCCAAGGGTGTGACTGACAGGAAACATCCAAGGTTTGTCATCAGTACATCAGCTCTGACCCAAATAACACTTTGTTAATGCTTCTTTCTCCCAAGCAAGATTGCCATTTGCAATTTTAATCTTTTCATCTCCTGAGCTTTTCCAAACCACTGCTGTGAATGCCTCTTAAGGTTGGTATAGCCTGTGTCCGCCTCTCTGGTGCTATTTTTCAGCACCCAAGTGCTCTACTGCCATGTTCCAGGGTAGAATGGGTACCGATAATGTTTCTTTAGTTTGTCTTGGTTGTGATCTTGTGAAGTAGATACATACCTACTTGTGGTTGTCTGGTCTGTCCTTGGGGACTCGCTGAGCCATATTGCCAGTCGCAGCTTCAGGGTTGGCTGCATGGCCCTTTGGAATAAGTAAATATTGAAGCACTATTAAATTATTGAAATGGGGGACAGCAGCAGATCCAAGTCTTAACAACCATAAAGGAAGTTAGAGATCACCTGTGGGTTGATTACTGTTCAGTTTTTTCCTTTATGTGCGCATCACTGTAGAGACGAAAGGGCACCCTCCGTTTTCTTCAGAGCACTGTGTCCTCTTCCTGGGCACACGCCTGCCTTGTGCTCATCGCCAGGCACATCCCTGTCCCGAGCGCTCGCGCCTGCTTCCAGAGCAGTCTCAAGCATGAGGCCGACTTTGGAGAGGACTGTGCTTCTTGAGTGGGGGAGGGCCATTTATCTCTCCAGTTTTTTCTGCAGTAAGATTCCAGGATATTTTTTGATCGTTCTCATAGACCATTATCAACCTTTTTGCCTTTTTTGTGTATTGCTAAATGCATTTAGAGTACAGTTTTGACGCTTTGGAAGGGTAATAGTAACCCACTTATTTGTAGTCACCTATCTCAGAAACATCTGAAACACATCCAAGAACCAAAAACTGAGGAGTAAAGGCCTCTGACAGATGAAGTTGTTAGAAAATCCACATACTGCCCTGGCCAGTTTGGCTCAGCGGTTAGAGCGTCGGCCTGCGGTCTGGAGAGACCCGGGTTCGGTTCCCGCTAAGGGCACGTACTTCGGTTGCAGTTTGTCCCCGGCCCTGGTTGGTCGTGCGGGTGGCAGCCACTCGATGTGTCCCTTCACGTCGATGTTTCTCTCTCTCCCTTCCTCTCTCTCCCTCCCACTCTATCTGTACAAAAGGTGGAAAAATATCCTCGGGTGAGGATAACAAAAAAATTAAAAAAAAAAAAAAAGAAAATCCACATACTTTACCTATACAACTATTCCTCAAGCCTTCATTGGGAGCATGTTGATTTTTGCTTACAGTGAGCAGACATACTATAGGAAAGGTGAAGTGGGGCTCCTCAGCTGCTTCGACTTGGAAGCCAAGTAAGAAAGATTTTCCTAAAATACAGGCTGCCGCCGTGGCTCTTTTGTATTTAGGCAGACACACTCACTTAACTGAGTACCCCCCAAAACTATCAATATATTTGTTTAGTATAATAAAAAGCATGCCTAACTTTAATAATAGTGTGTACTATACGTAGTAATGACCTGAGTCCATTAAGATAGGATAAATAGTGTTCAGAGGGTAATACAATTTTTAAAAGACTTCCATCAAAAATATTTAAAAATTTTAAATGGTTGGTACTTGAAGGGGAAACTTAGAAAATTCATATTTTTAGTTTGTAAGGAAACATTAATGTACATTCCTAATCTCTAAGGTATTTTTATTGAAGCATATTTAATGTGATTGGCTGACAGTGATGATAACTGATCATTTGTATAACTTTGTAAGTTTTTCTTTGCAGTAATTCTATGTGGTAGTGGGGCAGGTGCTCTAGTAAAACCCAAAATTGTCAAGTGTTTTGACCGAGGCCACACAACTGTAAGTGGGGACTGCTCTCCACCAGCTCACGGTACTGTATTCTGTGACAAACACAGGCACCCTTCGTTTCACTGCACTGACAGGTGTCGCGTTCTTTTTGTTTGTGGGTTTGGGGGTTTTTTTTGTTTTTGTTTTTTTTGTTTTTTTGCATTTTGTTTTGTTTTACTAATTAAAGGCAAGACCCTCCATCGACAAAACGATTAGGACTGGCTATATTGCGACACTTGCTTTATTGCCGTGGCCTCAACCTACAGTATTTCCGAGGTGTGCCTGGATCGGCACCATCTGATAGACATAGCCACAAGGTGCTTCCTGGGGTGGGATCCTTCAGCACGGGCCTCCTGGCTTCTCCTCGAACTGCAGAGTCTGCAGCGGCATGAGGAATCTGTTAAGCTCCTGTGTACATCTCGTTGAGTCCTGGAGCTGGAATGACTTAAGTCCCCCACCTCAGGGTGTCACTGGTGTCTCCCCTGTCTGAGGGAAGGAGATCATTGCTGTTCTCACACAGCAGGAAGGACCTCCTCCTGTTGCCCTTCCAGATGGTGCCTTTGTAAAACCTTTTCCCGAAAAACAATATATAGACAGAAAAATACACGTAAATGTAGTGCTTGATTAGTTTTCTTCTAGTTCTCTTTGTTCTTCTTTGTGTTAGATTTTTGCCCCATTGCCAAGCATGCACTTTAGAGTTCACCATCCCCTGCACCTGTGATAATAGTTCTGTAATAATCTTTTTTCTTGGTTTACTCACAATTCAGTGATCAGTTTCAAGTTTGAGGAGGCACATTCTAAGACATGCCTTCTAATCCGTAGCCTGATGCAGGCCCATTCAGATACCTGTGGCACCGCCGAAGAAAAGTGCTCTCTTGCTCGTTGTGAAAATAAAAGCACAGTATAATCTTTTCGCTTGTAAAAACAGTGTTAACAACAGACTTTACTAATAGTTTTTTAATTTTATTTTGTTCTATATTTAGACATGTTTCAGCAACTTTATTCACCACTTGGTCTTAAAATCTCCCTGAGTCAGGAACAGAGAAACTAAAATTGAGCACCTGCTTTTTGTGCTTTATGTATATTATCTAATATCTCACAACAATTCTTTGAAATATTGATATTCAGCTCCAGTTTACCAATGAGGAAACCAAGGCTCAGAAAATGTAAATAATTTGCCTCAGATCCTGTAGATAATAAACATCAGGGTGAGAAGTAGAATATAGGTTTTTCAGATTCCACAATCTGTGCTTGTTTCCACTAAAACCCCACTGCTTCAGAGACCAGAGGAGGGTGAGGAGGTAGCCGCCTGGGGTAAGCCTTCCTATAAGGCACCTTGTGTCTGGGAGATGAAGTCACAGATTGAAGGAAATAGGAGTTAGCTGGGCGATATTATCTAACAACATCTGTCCAGCACATTTATTAAAGCTGCTCTCAGTGCTTTGCCATGTCACATAAAGAGTCAGCTAACAGGCTCCTGAGGAAATATAATCCAGAGAGAGATTGAGAGATTGTATAAAACCCAGATCACGGGAGCGCTCCAGCTGGCTGGGCTCAGTAAGACCCAGACATCCAGAAGCACTGAGCAGCTCTTGTAAATTCTTGACTGTCTAACCAGGAATTGCCTTTAGCCTGCTTTGAATCGTGTATCATCCTTTCTTCCTCTGCCTCCATTGTCCAGGTTGAACTCTAAGAGTTGTAGAGTTTATAGAAACTTTAATGTAGAATGACTTCCTGTGGATACTATAAAACGGTTATTGAAGTTCTAAGAGGATGCCACAGGTAGGGTTTGACTGAAGGCATATTAACACCACCTTGCACTGACTGAGCCTTATAGCTCACACCGTCATTTCATACCTGTTTCCTCACTTAGCAGCCAGAAATCGCTGGTCATTCCATCTTTCAGTGTATCTAAAATGTAAAATGATGGATTTCTGTTCCTCCATGCCCCAGGAAGGGGGTAGAAGGATTCCTGCATTATTATTTGCAGAATTAAAAAGTCTAGCCAATTGGTCATGCTGAGGAACCATATTAAAATTATAATTTCCCTAAGTATTTCTAAACTAAGATTTGTAATATAACATGTCTGAATTTTTATCAGTATTGTGGACATATAAACTAATCATTACTTAACAGGGATACCCAGGCTTAAAACAAAAGTATATGTTGACCAAATGGAAATAATGTGGCCAAAATTTAAGTTTTTAAAAATTTTGTTTTCAATATTTCTTCCTTAAAATATAAAAATTATTTGTGAATGAGCACTTAAAAAATACGAAGGATGCCCCTGGCCAGTTTTGCTCAGTGGTTAGAGCATCAGCCCACAGACCAGAGAGGCCCAGGTTTGGTTCCCGCTGAGGGCACGTACCTCGGTTGCAGTTTGTCCCCGGCCCTGGTTGGGGTCATTTTGGTGGCAACCAGTTGATGTGTCTCTCTCACATCAGTGTTTCTCTCTCTCTCTCTTCCTCCCTCTCTTCTTCCCACTCTATCTAAAGATAAATGTAAAAATGTCCTCAAGTGAGGATAAAAAAAAAAGTATGAAGAATGTTGTCACTAAAAATTGAGACTAGAACAGCCTTATGTTTTAATTAGGTAAAGCAAAAGTATACAGGTATTTAGACACAATTTTGGCCAGAGTGTTCACTCTGCTTACAACATGAGTAACATCTGGTGAGTTTCATAGTGTAAAAATGGTTCTTTGGAAAATGATCATGCTAATTCCTTCTTTCTCTTTGTCTGTCTAGTGAGAACTCAACAGAAGCAATAGCAGTAGATTCTAACAATCAGTCGAAGTCCCCCCTGGAGAAGTTCATGGTCAAACTGTGCACTCATCATCAGAAGCAGTTCATTCGTGTTCTGAACGATCTGTACACTGAATCTCAGCCGGACACCGAGGACTTGCGACCTTCTGACTCCGGGGCAATGGATGCATCCTCTTGCAATGCTGGCTGTGCCCAGCTCGGCACCAGACATAAGGAAAACGATGCTCTGTGTCTCGATATGAAGTCTCCTCCTATAGATTTGACAGTAGATGCATCAGGCTCTCACAGTCCTCTACATGTGTCAGAAAAGGCCCTGAAGGAGCCTCCTCCTGAGACAAACTCTGTAGATGGAAGACAGAATGCCTTGACTGTTATCCAGAAAGATTGCTCTGAACTTCCAACCACTAAACCTAATTCTGGAAGTTCAACAGATAGTTCCACTCTGGGATACCTCAGTACATCTAATTCTTCCTTGTTCAGCTTCCATCACATCTCTAAGAGCTTGGAGGGGCAAACCACTGGACAGGAGCAAGACACCAATGTGAAAGTATGTGAGGATGGTAAAGACCATACGCAGAGTACAGCTTTAGTAGAAAGTCTAAGTGCAGCAACTGAGAACAGTGAGGAGAACAGCAGCTGTATTGTTTCTCCAAGAAATTCATTCAGAGCTTTATCAGAAGAGGCTTGGGACTCAGGGTTTACAGGGAATTCATCTAGAACTGCTGACAAAGAAAATACTTTACAGTGTAGCTCAAATACACCTGTGCACCAGGATTCAGGGGCAAGTGACCAAGATTCAAGGCCAAAGCAAGAGAACCATCTTCACTCACTAGGAAGAAACAAGGTGGGCTACCATTTGCATCCCAGTGAAAAAGGCCAGTTTGATCATTCCAAAGATGATTGGTTAGCCCCCAGCCCCATGCCAGTGGTGCACAAAGCACCCAGTGGACACTCGAGAACCAAGATGTTACCAGCCTCCATCAAGACAGCTCGGAAGAGTAAAAGGGCTTCAGGGCTGAGGATAAATGATTATGATAACCAGTGTGATGTTGTTTATATCAGTCAGCCAATAACAGAATGCCACTTTGAGAATCAAAGATCAATGTTGTCTTCTCGGAAAACAGCCAGAAAGAGTACTCGAGGGTACTTTTTCAATGGTGATTGTTGCGAACTGCCGACTGTTCGCACACTAGCCAGAAACTTACACTCCCAAGAAAAACCGAGCTGCTCAATACTGGCATCAGAGACAGTGGTCACTCCCAAGCAGCCCCTCATTATTTCAGCTCCGAGACCTACGGTAGATGTGCAGCTACCCACAGAGGAGAACGCTGAAGAGCCTAGTGAAGAAATAACCTCCCCCACAGAAGGAGACAGAGATGCTTCATCTGAAAAGGAATCTCAGGAGGCTGAGGTTTGCCCCACGGTGATTCCGTCCGATCCACCCAACTCCCCGAGAGCAGAGGAAGCTACAGCCTCCAGCCTGGTGTGGCCTCTCCCGGCTCACCTTCCTGAAGAGGACGTGCCTGAAGGCAGCTCTGTGGCCTCTGTGCCCACAGCAAGTGGGATAGCTTCCCCTGAACAAGACCAGCACCCAGTCGAACTGCCGGATGCAAAGGGGGTGAGTGAGCCCGAAGACGGTCACCTGGTTCCCGCTACTGAGAGCATTTCTGAGGGAGGCAGCGAAGATGTTTGTAGGCCTCCTCCTTCTCCCGAAACAGTCAGTGGGGTGGAAAGTCCTCTGTGCTCAGAAAATCAAAGCCCCCCCGTGAGCTTGGAGCCTCCCATGAGCCCAGGAAAGGCTGAGGACAAACAGAACGTTAGTACTGAGGCCGAGACTGAGGACGCTCAGGAGCTACACACTGACCCGCTCTCAAAGGAAAGCAGCACCTTGACTGAGGAAAACCCCAATGAAACTGAGGAGAGTGAGGCGGCAGATGGTACAGGAAAAGTACAGGAAGAGGACAGTGATAGAAAACATCCTTCAGGAAAAGGTACGTGCGAACAGAACATTGACTCACCCGAAGAGAACTCAGACAAGAAGAAAAAAGGTAAAAAATTCCCTGAGGCCTCTGATAGGTGCCTAAGAAGTCAACTTTCAGATTCTTCCTCTGCCGATAAGGGCCTAAGAAATCAAAGTTTAGACTCTTCCTCTGCTTGCCCTGAGGTCAAGGTTTCTAAAAATGCTGGTGCAAAACGTTCTAAAAAAGAAGAGTACCCTGGTGTGACAACACCTGAGGGCCTTCTGACCGAGGGTCTCCATCCAAAAGCTCTGGAGGACACCGAAAACCCAAATGTCAATGAAATTCCCTCTGAGAAGGATGCTGAGCAGGAGGGCGAAGGAGGTGGGATCATCACCAGGCAAACTTTTAAAAACTTGCTGGCTAAAGAGGTCAAAGGGGAAGAAGGAGACATTTCCCCCAGCAGTGACCCTATAATCACAGTTGGCCAGCCCCTGCCTGGAGAGAGACTGGAAATCTATGTCCAGTCTAAGTTAGGTGAGACAAATGGTCATGACCCCTTAGAAAGCGTTCCATGTACTTTCCCAGAGCAGTCAGAAGAGAAGCCAGGACCTGTTCCTGCAGATGTGGAGGAGGTTGTAAACGAGGTGGACAGTACGAACGCCCAGCATAAAGATGATGAGAGTGACGGGCCATCCAGCACGCTCGGGCCATCCAGCGCGCTCGGGTCGTCAGGTAGTGGGAGTGGCGAAGCTGCTGGGCCCCCAAAATGGGTACCAAGGCTCACGAGACTGACCTCTTTGACCTACAACCTAAGACATGCTCATTCTCTGGACTCCTTGGAAAATACAAAAGTAACTTCAGAAAAGGAAGCAGCACAAGAAAACGCAACACCAAAGGGTGATGAAGCTTTGGAGAGTGAAGATCCCGTAGAGGAGGAGGATAGGGAAGCGGTGGTCGACGACCAGCCAAAGTTTATGGAATGGTGTGCTGAGGAGGAGAACCAGGAACTCATCGCCAACTTCAATGCCCAATACATGAAAGTTCAGAAGGGCTGGATCCAGCTGGAGAAAGAAGGCCAGCCAACACCAAGAGCAAGGAACAAGTCGGACAAACTGAAGGAGATTTGGAAAAGCAAGAAAAGGTCACGGAAATGTAAGGGTTCATTGGAAGCTCAAAAGTTTTCTCCTGTTCAGATGCTGTTTATGACAAACTTTAAATTATCTAATGTTTGTAAGTGGTTCTTAGAGACAACTGAAACCCGGTCTCTGGTCATCGTGAAGAAGCTCAATACTCGTCTTCCAGGCGACACCCCACCTGTCAAGCATCCGCTTCAGAAGTACTCACCTTCCAGCCTGTACCCCAGTTCACTACAGGCTGAACGCTTAAAAAAACACTTGAAGAAATTTCCTGGAGCTACTCCTGCTAAAAACAACTGGAAAACGCAGAAGCTCTGGGCTAAATTTCGAGAGAATCCCGACCAAGTGGAGCCAGAGAATGGCAGTGACATCAGCCTGGGCCCCAGTTCTGAAGACAGCAAAGAGGAAGTTGGGGAAGGTAGAAATAGCCATCCTCTCACAAGCTCACCCACTCCAGCCAGTACCCGGATCCTTAGAAAATATTCCAATATCCGAGGAAAGCTCAGAGCCCAGCAGCGCTTGATGAAGAATGAGAAGAAGGAAAGCCCTTTTGGTGTGGCTGTGGAAGGTAAACAGAGTTGTAAAAGTGTATGCATCAACCCTCTGATGTCCCCCAAACTTGCCCTGCGAGTGGATGCCAATGGGTTTCCCATTAAGCCCAAGAGAACTGATGGAACGAAGGGAAGGAAAGCGAAGCAGACGTCTGAAATCTTGCCGAAAGCAGAAGTTCAGAATAAACGCAAGAGGGCCGAAGGCAGCAGCACTCAGGACAGGAAGGACAAGGGACCCACAATGAAAGCCAGCAAAGAAAAGCATGTTGATGGAGCCACCAAAACCCCTGCTGCCAAGAAGCCAGCCGCAAGGGACCGAGTCAGCCAACTGCCCAAAAAGACATCTTTGAAAGAGAATAAAGTGAAGATCCCTAAAAAGTCCTCTGGGAAGAGCTGCCCTCCCTCCAGGAAAGAAAAAGAGAATATAAACAAAAGACCTACCCAACCCACCACCTCGGAGGCAGTGACGAAACCTGCAAGGCAAAAAGGGGCAAGCGAATCCTCTTCAAGGTCACAGAAAGCCACAAACAGGAAGCAGAGCAATGGAAAGGCTCGGGCCAGACCCTTGAAAACCCCAGAGAACAGTGCAGCCCAGAGAAAGCGAAAGCTGAAGGCAAAGCTGGACTCGTCCCACAGCAAACGGAGGCGGCTGGATGCAAAGTGATCCGAAGGGTGGTAGCCAAGAGTAAAACTGTTCTATAGAAGTAACCCTTTATTTTGCATTAACTAAATCCGCTTTTATACGCTTATCAAGCCTTTCAAATCTGCAGTTAATGGAGAACACCACAATTTAAGATGTCAGAAAGTGCATCTCAGATGGAGAAGGGAACTTGCAGAGTCTTTCTCTGAGGCTGAGTAAGGGAAGTTATATATTATATTCTGGTTGTTCCTTGGGTTTTAAACTTGGAACCAAGCAGTTTTAGTTTTTAAAAGTACAGTGCCTTATTTATCCTTTTTGTGTTTAAAATTTACAAAAGCTAAAAAGCTGATTTATGTGATAAAGGCTTGTATTTTATACTTGATGCACAAGCACTTGTACTGTAGCCGAGAAGACCACCATCATGCACATAAAAGTAGCTTTCCAGCAGCTCCCTGCAGCGTCTGTGCACGAGCAGATGCTCCTCTGTGCAAACCCAGCAGTGAACTTCCCTCTCTGTCTGGTTTGTTTGTCTAAATGATATTTGAAAGCTAAACCAAATCATTTTTATGGTATGTAGAGAATACAGAGGGCATTTATAATTGTTGTAAAAGATTAATATTTCTGTTAACCCTTTTTTAAAAAGCATTCATTGTTGGTCACTCCTCCTACCTTCGATCTTTTGTCATTTGGAAAAAATGGATTCTAAATTATGTGCCCATGAGACAAAAGGTGTGTTACCAGGTGTTATTACTAGGTGTTAGTTTTGGTTTATGACCTCTGAAAATTATTTGCATTACTTGTTGTTACCATCCTTTTCATTTTGGGCCTTGTAAGCTTGTTAGCACTCTACCAAGGTTTTTCCCCCCCATCTTGTAGCTGTAATTTGCCAATTAAGATGAGAGTGACTATTCTAATTTTTTTTTTACCCTGAATACTTTCATATTCAAAGAAAGCCAAAATGTTATTTTCAGTAATAGAAAAGTTTAAGAATGTGTGTGTGCAAGTGCATTTGGGTACATTTGCCTCTGGCTATCGGCCACAAATGTCTCCCAACCCCAGTTCCACAGTAAAATTCTTGCTTCCCCGTGCACTGTGCTAGGGGGTTCATGAGCTGGGTAATCAGCACAGGCCATATGGTTAAATGTGGCCCAGGGTTTCTGTGAGCATCCTGAAAACCACTTCGGCATCAGACTCAGAAAGGTCAAAAGAGCACAGAGGTATGTGAAGGTCATAGCAGACTTGCAGTTGGAGGAAGCAGCTCCAATATGTCGTAGTGGGCCCACACGCCCTGCACCGGAGCTGATATTCATGTGGATGTACATGTTTAGAGTGGGGTCCATTCTGATTGGTTAGCACCATACTCGTAGTTCATGCATGTAGCATTGCTCCCACCTCTGCCGTGTCAGGCTCAAAGGTGAGAGCTGCAGTATTTGTAACTGGTAATGTTTGCCTTCCCTGGGTGAAGCCTGAGACGGGTGCATTGGCTTTACCTTGGTGCCTATATTATTCTCCATTATAACACAGTGTGTACTCAACATTTCCATTGGGCCACTCTACAAAAAGGCTTGGTTGTTAAAGCCTCTACCAGCTTCTCTAATATGCTCTGTCACCAAAACAGGCCTGTGTGGACAGCTGCTACTCTGTCCCTTCTATTAAACATTGTTCCGTTTGGATTATTTCAGATCAGTTTAGATAAACTCAGATGGACTTTTTTCATGCTTTAGTTCATTTAGATCATGATAAAACAGGCCTTCTACCCAATCTGTAAAAGGCTTGCTGTATATACATACAGTGGAAACTTCTGATGATTGGATAGGACTGGAGAAAAGCATTTGATTCATGGGGAATTGAGAATCGTGTTGAATTTCATAGATAGTGAAGCTTACTATCTTCACTGAAGCCTTGATTATTTTTCCAACATCTCCTCTATCCCAAAAGTTTCTTTTTTTTCTTTTTAATGTCTTTGACTATGGCTACCTATGTTAATGAAACTGCTGAGTATGTATGTTGGCAACCCTTTCTCAGCATTAAGTTGCACAAAAGCATTAATATGTTTTGAGTAGGTTCATTTAATCTTTAAAAAGTGGTTTTAAAGTTTTAAAAAAATCTTTATGTAGAGTCGTCACTGGATATTGTTTTTGTGGTGACTTATAGCTGAGGTCAGCCAATGTCAGGTGTACTGATTCCTGTACATGCATTCAAGGTGCCCCTTAGCTGCACATAGACGACCTAGGAAGGGTGCTTGCATTAGGTTAGGGAGAGGTGTGAGGCAGTAAGTGGGTGGGACTTTTCTAGTTCCAGGTTTATAATTCATTCCATTACTTTTCTTAATTTCTTTCTCTTTTGTAAAAGCTTATTTACTCCAAGATAATAGCCTTCTCTCCCATTCTAAAAAGCATTTGAGAAAAGTTATCAATGTGTATGTATTTATTTATACACCTAACAATGCAATGGATCATCTTTAAAATCAACTTACACTTTATAGTAGTGACTACATTCAAATAGACTGGGATTCTGCATAATTATGAGATTAAAAGTTTAGAATTATTTTTGTATTTGTTGGATCTACTTTTTGCTGATTCAGTTCATTTTGCGAAAGAAAGAGAAAAGAAAAAGACTCAAGGACTGATTCTGGAAGGCCCTTTTGTATACTTACAACTGATTCTGTCCCCCAGACACCTCCAAACGCAGGCTTGATATTGGCTCGAGTCTCCCCGTACTTTCCCTCTTGCAAACACCCCCTTCTCATATCTTTCTTCACAGTATGGCTTGCACCAGATGCAAGGGCAGTCTGTCCCACGTTCTGGATTCCAGACCAAAAAGAAAGTCTCCCCCTGGGCCTGTGCTCAATGAAGTGACTGTCCCAATGTTGGAGTTCAAGTGGTTGATAAGAGACCACTGGTATTATCTCTTAGCTTCTGGAGGAGCTGGGAGATGCCTGGGAAGCCATCACTGAAGCCCCGTCATAGCTCCCCAGAGCTGGCCCCTCTTCTGGAGACCCACTTTCTGTCCCAGGGGCCCCCTGGGTTTGGGAGGACACCATAGAGACTGCTGCCTGGTCAGGTCCAGAGCCTCGCCCCTGGCTCCTCCTCACACATGTAGCAACCTTGCCGCTCAGCAGGAAGGCCACGGGCCTTTGTTGTGCTCTTGAGGCTTCCTGCAGGGGGCTGTTATTAGCATCTGTTAATCTGCAAATGCTGGTCCCTTGGATGCCTTAGGTAGGCCAGTCTTTTGTGTCTGTATTTTCATTGAAGACTTCTCCATGAGCCTTACCTAAAATATCATCTTAGGCTGTAGCACCTGTGCCTCATTGTTGCTGGAGTAGCGTGGATAGAGAGGTGCAGTTAGTCATCCCTTCACATAATACGGTACTTTAATAATGGGGTCCTCTACACATCACATACTGAATTTGTCACTGTTCAGACAGGTCATCAGTAAAACACTTCCAGACAGTTATTTGAATTGAAGTTTGGCCCGTGATGGATTCTGTGGTGAGGGCGGGAGCTGTCACTCTCAGTTCTGAGCAGCATTCCTGTGGATTAGTGGCCCTGAGCCAAGTAGGAAAGGACAACATGTTTGTGATGCAAACTGGAGAGGCTCTGGTGTCACCATCAGCAAGTCTGGTGTCTTGTCATCGCACCTGAGACTAGGCTGCAATTTCCCAAGATGCTGGCCCAGGGAGCCACACCCAGTTTTTCTCATTGTAGGGCTCTCTTTGGCTTAGAGATGATCCATCAAGAGTCTGCAGACTATGGGCTGGTTGCTTTTTCGTAAAAGTTTTGGAACAAAGCTGCGCCCATGTGTGTATGGATCGTCTTTGGCTGCTCCAGCAGAGCTGAGCAACTGAGTGCCCACAGAGCCTGAACTGTTGACTCTTGGGCCCTTTGGGAAAAAGTTGGCTGACCTTGCTTGAGAAAAGAATCCTTTTTCAGGAACAAACGTTCCCTGGTGTATCTTCTTTCTTCTGCCTTTTCCTCTCTGTCTTCTTTTCTTCCCCTTCTCCTTAGCTTACCTTGATCTTGTTTGTCCCTTTACATTTCTTTATTTCTTCTTGCTACAAGAGACAGGTTACATCATTGCTTGAGCATGTTGAACCCCATCTCCTGAAACGTGGGTCACTTAGCCTCACGTCTGCCTTCTTAGATTCACTCGTCACAGTAACCAAAACAGGATCCCCTTTAGCCTATGGAGTCCGAACCCTTGAGCAAATAGGAGTTCAGAGTTTGCTTCACTGTCTTTTATCATGGACCTGACACCAGCTTCACTTCTTGTTTATTTCTAAAGGAAACCGAGACTCTGTTTCGTTCGAACTTAGCTGAGACTACATTAGTTGGATGCTCAGTGTTCTGAACCTCACATTTAGATATGGAAAGTCTTCACAGCGGGGAAGCAGGATCGAATCCCAAACCCAAAGCCTTGTTTATTATGTATCTTGGGCCAGCTTCCAGGAAAATGAAACTCTTGGCTCTGATGTTTTTCTCAGTCCCATACTCTTCTTTTAAAATAATTTTATTCAGGGCAGGCCAACATATAAAAAATAGAGGCCCGAAGTGCTTTAGAAAAGAGGAATAGAAAATCGGAGCACATTCTAACCTGCGTGTGACTGAGAAGTTGTGGTTAATAACATTAGATTGAATCCATTCAACTTCCAAGGTGTTACTCTTCCCCTTCCCACAAAACTCAAGCATACGTTTCCAGGCTTTTTAAAAATTAAATTGAATGTCATGTTGGTGAAACTATTTTGTCAGTATCCCCAAAAGAGTGGGACTGTTTTCATTGTTTTGAAACAGATCATTATCATTTTGAATTCTTAGCTATACAGTTCTGTCGCCTTACGGCTTGATAGCTACTGAAATACTGGCCCTTCTTTCTGTAAGAATGAACTCACATCTGCATCACATCAGCAAGGTGGTCCTTGCAGCCCAGCCGTACATCCTCTTCCCTGTGCTTGCTTCCAAATTGTCTTCAGGGAAAAAAGTAAAATAAAAAGGTTATTGTATTTAAAGCAAGCAGAATTACGGGAAGCCTTTGAGGCAGGCATCACTATAATTCATCCCTTGAAACATCGAAACAAACTGCTGTATTCTACAGTAGAAGGCTTGGAAGACTTTGAAGGTCTGATCTCTGTAAAGATAATAAATCCTACTCAGGTCGAAACCCAGAATGATGCTGCTCCTGGCTCAGGGCTTTGCTGGCGGTGCTGGGGACCCAGGGAACCACGGATCTTTGCTCATGCTTTTGTCCTTTGGAATGGAGCTGAAGCTGGTCCGTTCCTTCCATTTCTGCCCCTCTGTCTGATCCTCCTTGTCTCAGAGCTGGGGTTGACGCTCTACACTTCGGAGCCACCCTTTACTCCATTCTTCAGAGAGGGCGATGCGTAGTTACGCTCACCTGGGGAGCAGTGACACAGCTTTCGCACCTACCTGGGACCATGGCGTTTAACACAAGGTACTCAGTAGGCAGGTAGGTATATGAAAGTACAGACTTGCCAGAAAAAATAAAAAAGAACCAGGTGCTCATGGTTTTATACTATGCCAGAGATTGGACGGATGCATTTTACCTTTTTTTCAATGGGTTATTTAAAAAAATAATAATAGAGATCATATGTGGCCCTGACAGCCTAAAATATAACATATTTACTA